GAACCTATGTGACGTTGGAGAGGGCCATCAAATTTGGTAGAACCCCGGGTTGCAAAGGGTGTGAAAGGATCTCGGAAGGAGTACCGCACTCCGATGCATGTCACGACAGATTCCGTGTCCTCCTCGAGGATGAGAGGCTGGCACCACCGGTACCTCGAACTCCTGGATCTGGCCCAGCACCTTCGACACCAGTTCCGCCCACTCCAGCAGCAGTCATCACGCTAACCCAAAGGGCCAGTGAAGCAACCGATGCTCCTGGTACCACCGCCGTCGACTCTTGTCACAACTGTTCTTTTCAAGACTCTAAAAACAAAGGGCCAAGATCAGACGTCAAGGGGGCAAAGTCTTTGGTTGAGGACAACTCCGAAACCAAGGATTATTGGGAGTTTGATGAAGCAAGGCACGCATGGGTACTAGTGCATTTAAGACCTAGAAAAAGGCTATTTGCACCAGTGGGTAAGGATTGTCCTTTCGATTCCAACGAGGTTGAACCGGAACGCATCACCGAGTGGAGATGCAAGGGGAAGGTTTCCGTGCATAGGGACAACTGGCAAGAGACTCCGTATCAGAGGATTTCATCCAAAAGTTGGTTTGGTAAGACGTGGTTCTTTCCGAAAGGACGTGTGTCGCCAGATCAAGCGCAACTGTGTGCAGCCGCAGCCAACCCTTCAGACGGTAATCTCAGAGCTATGCAAAGGTTCATCGAGCAAGCCGGTGACAGCCAAGCACGAACTAGGAAGGCCAGAGAAATCCTTGAACTCACTAAGGACTTGGTCAAGCCTGCACGTGAAGACCGCAAAGGTCGAACGGCGAATCCGACACTCTTTGAGTTTTGTTGCGATGAGAACTCAACGTTGGGTCAGATCAACGAAGAAAGAGGAATCAACCATTTCCGACTCACAACAAAGAACTCTGACATGTCAAGCCAGTGGGAAAATGACAGTCTTTTGAAGGTCATAGAACAATTTCCCGGGTGTGATTTGTGGGGATCGATTCCTTGCGGCCCCTGGTCGCAATGGCAGAATGTAAATCTCCATCAATACGGAAAACCGTTTGCTAAGAAACTCAAGAAAATGCGCAAGCATTCTAGAAAAAATTTAGCAAACTACATTCGTTGTGCAGACAAAGTCCTCAGTCAAGGGGGCCACGTTGCCTTCGAGTGGCCGAAGACATGTGCCGGATGGGACTTGCCAGAGCTGATCAGGTTTGTCAAGAGGCATGACTTGTTCGTGGCGGAACCTCAAGGTTGTGCATTTGGACTCTGTGATCAAGAAGGTAAATGTCACCTCAAGACGTGGAGAGTTGTAACCTCTTCATGGAGGTTGGCTAAAAACCTAGACAGTGCCAAGTGTCAACATCCGCGTGACTATAAGCATTCACCTCTTGCAGGCAGTAAGACACCTAGAAGTGCCTTTTACCCGATGCCTATGGCAAGGTGCATTTCTCAGTCCTTATATCCCTGGATTGACGCACCGCCTGCAATGCCTGTGCAAGTGTCAGCTGGGCCAAACTCCGTGCAAGAGTTCCTGTGTGGCGACCACGCCCCGGAGAACGAGGCAGGTCATCACAACCTGCCAGGAGTAGAACATGTGTTTGCTGGCATCCACAAATTGTTGGAGAGGAAAGAATGGGGTAACTTTCCTGGAGCGCAAGACGCCATTGACAATGAAGTGAATGGGCTAGTAGCTAACGGAACCTGGACTTTCGATGAGGTAATCTCAAAAGAGGACCTTTTGGCAAGATGTAAAAGGAACAAGGAGCATATCAACATTGCTTCCCTAATGACCATCTTGTCGATAAAGCATTGGGAAACCCCAGAACTCCGTAAACTCAAGGCCAGGATAGTTTTCCGAGGGGATCACATCCTCACGGAAGACAACAATCTTGCGGTGCTCCAAGAAGCAAAAGTCACTCCGACCGGAATGACCGGTGTCAACATCAATCTAGCATACGGCGCCATCAAGGGTCACGAAACTCGTCAATCAGACGTAGTAAAAGCCTACACCCAAGCGTACCTTGGGACTAAGGTGCCCACATGGGTGATCTTGCCTTGGGAATTGACTCCTCCAGAATACCGGCACTTCAAACAGCCGTGTGTGAGGTTGGTCAGGAGCCTTTATGGCCATCCCGAATCAGGATACCATTGGGATCAAAGGCTAAGGGAAGTGATGAAACTTTTGGAAGGTCAACATGTTGATGAATTTCCATCTTCATTTTGGTTTCCACGAAGAAAGCTTCTTGTAACTTGCTACGTCGACGACATTCTGTGCTCAGGGCCGTCATCAGAACAAAACAAGTTTTGGCAGGAGATCGAAAAGCATTTGGAGATCGAACCTCCAACTCAAGTTGAACGTGTGCTGGGCAGACAGCATAAATTCGACCGGACCAATGGATCGACCAAGGTTTCGCTCGAAATGTTCGACTTCATCGAGGATGCATGTGCAGTGTATGAGGGCTTGGCTCAATGTAAGTTGAGCACAGCTAAAAGTCCTTTCTGCCCAGAAGGTAGCCTTACAACCGCTGACTTTGAAAGTAAAGGGGTTTTGGCAACTTCTGCATGCAAAATCTTGATGAAAATCCTCTGGTGCGCTAGGCTAAGCCGACCCGACCTAATGAAAGGGATAGGGGATTTGACACGTAGGATTACCACATGGAGTCGAGCAGATGATAAACGACTCCATAGGCTAATGTGCTACCTGTATGGGTCAAAAGGGTACACTTTACAAGGACATATAGGCGACCCGCCAGAACTGCTCAAGCTGTGCTTGTACACAGATGCGGACCACTGTAGTGGCATCGAACACACGAAAAGCACGAGTGGCATGTTCTTGTCCATTGAGGGCCCTAATACCTTGTGGCCAATCGCGTGGGGCAGTAAACGCCAAACCGCGACTGCCAGGAGCACAACAGCAGCAGAGATGATCTCACTAGGATCAGGCCTTTTCGGCGAAGCATTGCCAGCACAAGGCTTCCTGGAATTGATCTTGGATCGTCAGGTTACGCTAGAGTGCTTTCAGGACAACTCAGCTGTAATCCAGATCGTGGCTGCAGGTTATAGCCCCAAATTGCGACACCTCACGAAGACGGAGAAGATCGAACTAGGTTCAGCTTATGAGGTCTTCGAAGATCCAAGTTGCAAACTCCTGTACATAGCAACGGACAAGCAGAGAGCAGATGTGTTTACAAAACCATTGCCGGTGTGCAAGTGGGACCATGCACTAGACCTACTTAACATGGCATCCTTAAGCTCAACTTGCAAAGTGCCATCTCGTGAAGCGGAAACGCTCCGAGACCCGTAGGCGTAGACCAGATAGTTAAATAACTAAACTGGAGTCTGCGTAGGACACTTTCCGAGTGTGAGAAGGGGGAGAAGAATGCCCCCTGCTGGAATCCACATTTTCCTGATGGTAGGTGGTGCATGCATGTCTAATTCAACCTTGCCCCGGAATTTATGTTTGCTTGAACTTTCCTTTGAATCAGGTTTCCAGGGTTGACACTGAAAAGAAACATTCAGTTCGCCTTGGATGACTTGTACATTTTGGCTCAAGGCAAAACAGGTTGTGCGAGTGAAGCTTCCGGTGCCGCCATAGCACTTTTGGGCATACTCTTTACTTGACTTGTCTTGATTCGTATTTCGTCTTCATTCCATGGCTGACTCTCCCTGCCTATCGAGCAAGTCACGGGGTGAGCAAAGCGACCCCCTCTGAAGGGGAAGCGGACGGTCCATCCCTCCCGCGGGGGCGATAGCGAGCCGCGCGCAAGCGGGGATTGCCGACCAGAAGGGGGAAATTGTGCCGTTTCAGAGCTGTATACTGTGCATATAGCACACTACATGTGCCAAATATACACTATATAGCATATATAGTGCGTATAACGCGCGCCATGTCAGAAGTTGGTACTCAAGTCTGGAGCCTTCTGAATGGACTCGCGGAGTCGCATCCGAGGTTCCGGACATCGAAGGCTCAACAACTCGAGACAAAGTTGAGAGCCCGGGCAAGAGCTGCTAACTTGGAAGGTGTTTGGGTAAACTTCCATTTACTGAGATAAACAGGAACCTAGAATTTTGGGGGTAAACTTCCATTTTTCAGTCAACTACCATTTACTGGGTTACTTCCATTTACTGGAATTGTTCCACCTGTTGGTTTAAGGGGAGCCTAGGGACTTAAGCAGATGGAGGAAAGCCTTTTGGTGTTCCGGATTTTTCACCCCTTCTGCACTTATTCCGGTGTCATCCGGGGTCGACACTGCCTCAAGTAACCCGTCAGGTTTGTAGTTTGGACTGGCGTTTAGAATCGGATTCGCGGCTCTTGCTTTTGTAGGCGGGGTCATGGAAGACCCCTCCTTACCCACCAAACCACCAATGCAAAGCACTAGAGGCAAACCCGCAAAAGCTGAACCCCCAAGGTCCCTAAACTCGAATCTGTCCAGCTTCGAATTGGTCCCTCAGGCTGTCCATGTGAGTTCGAATTGAACTCGAATACATTCCGAAGTGGGTTCTTTCAAATTTCCTCTCTCTTCTTTGTTTACATCAGATCCCAGTCGGACAGAGCAGGCGATCGGACACCAGACAAAGACACGAACAAGTTGGCGAGGTGCAATGCTTGTAAGGAATCCCCGTGAAGAATTGATCCCGTGGGTAGGGACCACCATGAACACAAACCATTGCCAGGGTTGTTTGACCCCTGTCTCTTGATGTTATGCCTACTTGGTTGCTTTCGCCTTGGCTTTGCCTCCGCCCGAAACCAGCGGTTATTTGAACCCTGTCTCTTTCTTTGCCTACTTGAATTTCCTTTCTTCTACCTGTTGGTCGCCTTGGCTTTACCTCCGCCAACAAAACCCGACAAACCACTGGTCGCCAGAAAACCAACAAACTTACAGTTTTCCTTCTTTCTTTTGGTCGCCTTTGCCTCGGCCCAAACAAAAAGCACCAGCAAGCCACTGGTCGGGGAATTCGGACGGCGAGAACGACGTGAAAACTCGAAACTTCGGCTCGACGGGAGGCAGCTCGCCGCAGCTGCTCTCAGTGCTGGCCACCCCCCGTGGCCAAAGCCCGCCTCCCGCGCGGGGGCTCGCGGAGGCGAGTTGGGGCGTCGGGCTTGGAGCGAGCCGTGCCGCAAGCGACGGAGGTGAAGTGAGCCACGTCCTCGAAACCGATTCGGGTAGATGAAGGATAGGAAGGGATACTCCCAAACAGAAATAGCTGCGGCATTCCGCCTCTTACTTCTTTGCATGGTTCTTGGTAGACCATTCTAATACCGGGTTTTGATTCTGACTCAAGTGGTGTTCCTGTGGCGTTCATTGGCTGAAATGAATGTTGTTTTGATGCTTGCCTGTTGGCTTTTAAGAGAATCGATAGCACTACTGGATGTTTTTATGTCCTACTTTATGTGGATTCTAGGGGACTTGAGCAAATGGAAGCTTGGTTTACCTGCAAACCAACCCCAGAACGGGTAGCCTCCCATCCAAAGACACGAACCTCAGAGGAAAGGTTCTGGAAGACCATTTTCCTTTGAAAGGAACTCCCTTGTGAGGGTTCCATGTTAGTGGACTGGAGGATAGCCTTTGGCAGTGGCTTTGTGGCAAGATACTGGGGGGCCTCAAAAGACAGATACCTTCAGATGCACATCCAAAACTTGTGGCACCTTCAAACAACAAACACGTCCAAGGGGAAGTCTCCAACAATCCACCGCCGCATTTCGGGTTTCTTCCCTGAACGCCACGCGAGTTCTCCAGGTGCACTCCGCCGGCGCGGTGCTCGAAGTGCGATGGGCGATGGGCTGTGGTCAAAACCGTGGTGGTGGATCCCAGTTTGGTTGGGATCGGTGAATTCACCCATTTTGGAGAGCCTAGGTTAGTGCTTGGATTGGGGGATATGGGGGGGAAGATTTTTGTTCTTTTGACCCGTGGCCATCTGGGTATGGGTCAAGATTACGGCACCCGGGGCCGCAGGTGTTGGTCCATGTGTCCGTCCAGGGCTTGACCCTTTTTGGGGTTACCAACTATTTTTGACCACCGCAGCCATATAGGGACTGGCAGCCACCGAGACCGGTGTTGGTTGCAGCTTCCGAAGCCGGGATCTGTTTTTGAATATCTCGGACGCCACAGGGATGGCGGGGTTTTGGGGGCCAGGATTCCCGAGAGCCAGCAAGATTCACTTCAACTGGTTGCGCAGCGGCGCCGTGTTTCACGAAATACGTAATACATCGGGGTACGTGTCAAAACCGGGGATCTCAAAAGCGGTGTTCCTCTACTTGAAGGATACTTCTGCAAGAAACATACAGACACGCAACATACACATAACATATATATATATATATATATATGTTTTTTTTCTACACATAAAAATGCGCTCCCACCCACCACAGCATGCCCATTGTATCCACCGCGGATACCAGCAACTCTTTGAGGGGGTTTTGAGCCGACTTTGAGCACCATGGCAATGCCCCTCGGAAGGAGTTCTGCAACATGGGCAGTTCTTCGTTAAGGAGTAAGACAGCGGTTGTCCACTCGGACAGCAGCTGGTTTCATATTTGGGGTTGTCTTTTTTCTTGGTGACCCTCCAAGTTTGTGGTTTTCCTTTACCCCCTATTGTATCACGTTTTACCTACCTAGAACCTCAAACTACCCTTCAACATGAGTGGTTGCCTCAAAATTTATGGCGAAATCCTCCTTTTTATGGGTGGGGTGTTTTGACAGTTTCTGCACGTTGCAGAAACCTCCGCCCCAAGGCCGTGCCCCCACGCCCCAGCGGGCCGTCTACCGGATGCCCGCGCCGGTCGGGGCCTGAAGGGATCAGATCAGAGGAGGTGAGGGGCAGGTTTCCTAGGTCCCCTCAGTAGTGCCTTTACCGTTTCTTTTTTGGGAAAGGGAGGGTTCCTCTACTTAGACAAAAACGCAAAAGTTGGCATTCTTATTCTAACCTCTCTGCTGGAGGACCTAACGATCAGCAGGACACGGTAGGCATGGGAACGGATGAAGTTTCACATCCTGTTAGAAAGGTGTTCCCCCTCTAAACATACGATTAACCACTAAACGGGACACACACACACACACACCGACACACACACACACACACAGTATTGCCAACCAGGGGTGCTTCCCGACATGGTCCCGAATGCCCCCCAGTCACTATTCGTCAATAGCCACTATCAGGCTGCAATGGCTCGCCTTGCGATGGATCTGAAGCAGTGTACGAACTCTCGATATTGCTGGGTTGCTCCAGCCAAGAACAAACCAAAGTTGACTGTCTTATATGCGTTGACTGCCATTTATGTGGCTTTGGGGTGAAGTTGGTAAATCATCATCCAGGAAGGCTCAACTGGTGTCGGGTTCGAAAGTTTCACTCCACTTTTTGGGAATCCTGGGTGAGTGTGCGTGTGGGTGAGTGTGAGAGTCTTTCCATGTCTTTGCACCATATGAAACCACCAACACGTTAAACTTTCTTCGCGCCTCCAAGCGTCTCCAACTGGCATTAAACCGCCAGCCAATGTCAGGTTTCAACAGGAAGTGGCTTCAATCCAAACTTTTGGCCAAGCATTCGCGTGGGGCAATAGACCCGTGATGCTTTGGGGTCGAAGCTTCTTAGGGCCACTGGACAAAGAGGCTTCAAGATCTCGTTTTCTTGTACCAGAGCTTCAAAATTCCATATCCACCTGGCAAATGATGGCCTACGAGAGCGGGTCACCTTTGTTGGATGTTGCGCCAGTTTTTGGCATTCAAAGGGCACGGTTGGGCATTTCTGCGAAGGCCGTATGGGGATATTATTTTGCTGGTTGGACCCCGTGTCCTTTTGGTTTCCCTTAAAACAACCCAAAAGGGGGTAACCTCCGACAAGACACACCCATTTGCTGTGCTGTTGAAGATGACTTGCCACCATACGGGCTGCGGCATCATGTCAGAGGCCCTTCCTGACCCTTGGACAGAGTTCTCAATGAATCCCACCCCTTAAAATGGAATTGTTGAAGGAGGGCCCTGGAAACTCGTCAACATTTTTTTTTTTTTTTTTTTTTAATAGGGAAGGCTAACGCATGTAGTTGCGGACCCCCCACCCCCCATCCCCCCTCGCCCTTAAGGTGGGCAGGTCACACTTTGATTCACATCAGGCGTTGTCGGACCGATTCAGGTCATCATGAATAGGATGTGAGGTTTGGTGCACGTTGCACTTTGGGTTGGCAGGCAGAATGCGGTCTTCTGCGTGGTGGTATCTCACTTCAGTACATTGTTGAACCACTGGGGCTTCCTGGACAAGTGGCTGTGGGTCAAAACCAATGGTACCATCTTGGGGTAGGCACACCACCCATTTAGTCTATTTTAGTGGGGCTTGGGATGTTCACTGGGGGCTAACCGATTTGGATTTTGACCCACCAAATGAAGACTTTCAACGTCTCCTGCGCGATCCGCGAGGGCCCCGGACTTCTCAGGCCCTGCGGTTTTAAGCTGAAGGTCCGCTCTCCGGAGGTAGAGCGGGGAGACGGTGATGGGATCTCGCGTTCCAAGAAGCATCGCTAAGCCGTCCATTCGAGGGGGTTAGGACCCCCAGAAGGTGTTTGATTTCAACTGCCTGTTTCAGGGTCCAAAAGATGCTCAAGGCATGTCTTGGGAAGACATTCGTAATTTTGACCGTATCTGCCGCGAGAAAACATGAGCAACTCACCCAACATGCGGAATCGGTGATAAAGAACTTCGAAATACTTTCTTTGCATGATCTTCACTTTATGGGGGTGCTCTCATGGCCTAGGCCAGTTTACTAATCCACGGGTTGCAAATTAAAGTGGAGTGATTGAGCATGACTGTATCTCCACTCTTGTTGGTTGTAGTTGTTGCTACGATGTTGATGCCATGAAACTTCATGTGTGTGTGTGTGTGCTTGTTTGTTTGTTTGTTTGTTTGTTTGTTTGTTTGTTTGGTTGTTTGGTTGCTTGGTTGCTTGGTTGGTTGGTTGGTTGGTTGGTTGGTTGGTTGGTTTTGTTTGTTTGTTTGTTTGTTTGTTTGTTTGTTGTTGGGGTGGACATGTGCCAGAATGACACAGAGCTCACTCAAGTCTCACTTCCTGTTGTGTTGTGCCTCTGCCATCCCCCAGTGTTATGCTGAAGACAGGAACAATTGAAAGACCAAGATCCCTTGGAAAGCCATCCCCAACTAGGCAGACCCAAGACTAGGAACGCGTCTGTTAGGCCCCTCCGAAAGCAAGTGAATCAAGGAAAAGTATTGGCACTCATTGGCACACTCTCTGTTCAAAGCGTCACTTTGCTGCCACTGCCAATCTCTGCAGCAAAAATCGGCCAATCTCTACAGCTTAAATCGCAACCTGGCAGCGCCGCATGACTTGCAAAAGAAGCTGCGCTTAGCCGTTTGCATAGCCAGAGCAAACAATTGTTGCATAGGCGATAAGGCCAAAAAGGCAAAATGCATCCGTAATATTCAGCGGAACACATTGATCGTTGCCCACTGTTCACAACAACAAGCCGAGTCGGCCATCGTGCAATTATTGTCAAGAACCGTCAGGGTCTTGTGCTCATAACTGCCATGCTTGCATGTGTTTGCGCAGGCTTCGTTGAGAATTACGTTTGGGAGGTACTGTGGATGGACGAAATCCATTTCGCACAACTTAGGAAGCCCTGGAAAGATGATTCTCTTGTAAATACCAACAAGCGGTATGGTTTCAACCACGGCTTCAAACTGGTGCCCCATCCACAGTGTATGTCAGCTTTTATCCTTTTATCTGTCATTAAATGTTCGTTGCCGGTGCTGTCAGGACGCATCGAACTGAACTGAGTCCACGGAATTCCTTCTCTTGGCGCTTTCTAGTCATGCGAGTGGATCCGCGTAGACCAAACGCTTCCATGGGGTTGATCAAACAGTGAGGCATCAATGACCTTTGAGGTGCCAGCCAGAGGTATGCTTTGAAACTGTCCGTTTTACAACGTATGGACCTGGCTGGTTTTATTGCATGAAACCCGTGTTTGCTCTCGGAACATCAACTGGTTTACTTTGAAACCCTTTAAGGGATGCTTGGACAGCACTCGGGGTGCTTGCCATGGGTAAAAGTGATGGGGAGATGCTGGGTGAAGCTGTTGACGTGACGCTAATGCGATTTTCTACAATCGAATCAGCTTGGCAGATTGACAATGTACCAACCCGAGTTGCCTCAAAGGGACCATGAGCGCGACAGCAGTCAAAAGGAGCGTCTCACGCTGTGTTAGTACGGGCAGATGACAAGCCGTCTTGTGCAAGGCATCACACATAGGACCTGAATATCCTCACTGGTGCGACTCCAAAGGAAAGCGCAAGGTATTGTTTATTTATTGACTTTCTCAAGCCCCTCCTTACCACTTCACGACGTGCTCGTTAAACAACCCTTTTGACCTTTTGGCCGCCCAGTTTTGGTGCATGCCTTCCAAGAGGGTATGCTTTATTTTCTGGGTCTTGAGGGGAGGTGAACCTAGAGACAAACGACATTCGGTTGACGAATTGTAGTCGCAGCTGCGATCCATCCGCTCGCTCCAGTTACGAAGAATTGAATGCAATCAGATAGGGCGGAACATAGAACACACGGAGCCAGCGCGGAGCAAGGCCCGTTGGACGCAACAAACGGCCCCAACACACAAACACCAACGGGCTTGTTATGGTTACGCATCTTCAAGGCTTTTCATGTTGTGCTTTGAAGACCACAGGTTTGGCGGGGTTTGCGGAAGTTGGAGTACTCTTTCGGAGCATTTATGGTGAACCTGAATGTACATAGTGATTCCTAAGCCTCTTGACATGCATCTTGCTTGTAGCACCTCAAAGGGGATGTTTGGGTCAATGGGCATTGCAAATTTGCGGTCGGCTCCGTTGCCTACGTGGGCATTCAGCCGTGGGCGTTTCACTGAGCTAGCACCAACACTAGCTGCGGGCAGGCTTTCTTTTTGTCGAGTTCTCCCCGTGTGTCCCTAGTGATGTGCTTGGGATCGGGCCCACAAAACCTGAGTTAAGTACGTTTGGGTGTGTATTTCATGGTTGTTATTGGGAAGCATTTTACATTTTTGCTTGTTGTGGTTTAGTGGGAAATCCCCACTTAGCTGCTTTATTTTTTTGCTCCCCTTCCAACGTCAACCAAGTTTTGAGGGTACCCTGTTCTGAGGTGGGTTTTGTTTGCGAAACCCCGTCGGTCCAACTCAGTTTTCGTTTGCTCGTTTTGTCGGACAGACAAGCCACCCGCTGGGAATGCCGGATAGCCACCGAAGGTTCCGGCGAGCGAGTTCTTTTCTTCGCAGGAGCCGCGGCGATTTCTCCTGACCGTGACGAATTGCGACGCCGAACAAAGATGAGAAATGGATGTGTTTGCGCTTTGCTTGTGAAAGAGTGACGTCGTCCAAGGGCTTCCGGGCTCCTGCGCCTTCCATTGCAGTCGATACGATTTCACGTGGCGAGAGCGGGAAGATGCCTTCATTTGGGAGTCGGGAGTCGCGACTTTGAGCTGTGTGTGTTGGCCTGAAACACGAGCGTTTCCTGAGGTTTACTGACATTTTGTTGTGCTCGTCACTTGTCTTGTGTCTTGTTTATTATTATATAACAATAAACATAAGTAAAACACATGGACTTTGGCTATTAATTTCTAGTTGTGAGTTGTTGCGGGAGAAAATGGCCGGGAAGCCTCGGATTTTTCCCTGTGGGGTGGCCAAGGGTAGGGTCCTCAAGTGGCGTATCATTCGCGCACATAGGAACCAAAACCTAAGGAAGTTCCAACGACTAAATGCTCGTAGTTTCCGGTATTGCGTGAGTTTACGCAAACCGTTCGGGTGGTTTCCTTGCCGCTGAGCCACTGAACCGGGGTGACTTTGAGAGTGGTACAATCATTGGGCCGGCAGCTTCGGGTAAACAACCTCAAAGTGCGCATCCACACAAAGTATCGAGTTCGCCCAAGATGCCTGAAATAGTGAAGCACCCGGGAAAGAAAGCAGGGAAGGGAGTTTCCAGGTAATATACATTCTATCTATATTTATAGAGTATACATACATATCTACAGAGAAACACAGTAAACACATATTGTAGGCTTGGGGTTCGCAAACTGTGAGCGCTTTTACAGGTGGCGCAGAATTCCGCAGATTAGTTCCAAGCAGGTCTATCCTTGGACCATTGACGTAGCACTCGGCAATTTTCTATGTTTTTGAAGGGTTTTTCAATGGTGGAGTTCCTCAAAGAAGGGAAAGGTGATGATGAGGTCTTATTCGGTGCTATTGGGCCCCCTGAGGCTCTTCGGCTCGGGGTTCCGTTTGCCTTTGGGGCCGATGACATCCATTGCATTGATTCCATCCTCAGGCTGATAGGATTCCATGGGGCATGCTATTGGGGATGCTTATGAAGACCGCCGCTTGGATTTGCAGTGAAAGCAACTTGGGACAAGAAACATGAATACGGGTTCATTTGTCCAGCTCATGTCTAATGATCTTCAGGCTGCTGGCATTCCATGTGTCTGTGTGTTTCTCTTGTTTTTCCCGCGCCTGAGCCGGAAGCTCAGCGGGTTCCGGAAGCTCAGACCGCAGCTTAGATAAGCGGAGACGCGCTGGAGACGATGGAGCCGGGCGCCTGAGACAAAGTCGGCGAAAGATGGCCATAGACCCTCAGAATGCTCACCCGGATGAAGAAACCCCTGGTGGATTGTTTTGTTTTTGTTTGTGGGGTGTCCGCTGTTAGTGGTTGGATTCAGACCACTCTTGGAGGGAACACCCCCCTAATAAGGGGACGGGCTTATTAATCCTTATGGTTCCCCAAGTGAAGGGGCATCCCTGAGGCCCGCGGAATTCATGGAGATTTGCGCTGAAGCAGAAGAAGGCATGCGACGTGTCTTTGCCCCAGCAGCTATAAGCTTTGGGGTCCTTGCCCACATTGACATAGGTTCTGGAGAGGTTCGGAGCGGGTTTGGCCTAGGGTTCAAGGGTTCCGGACGGGTGCACACGCGGTTCTGTCGGGGATACCACCTTGGCCAAATTAGCTTTGGATCTCTCCATGGGTCCACCGCACTCTTTGGGTTGTGTAACAAGTTTTGTATATAAGGTTGCCTCGCAAAGTCACTGAACATGTCCCTGTTTCTGAATGGCAATGAACCCTGAAATTGTGCACGTGAACTGTGTCAACGTTTGGGACCATCTTACATCTTTGCCTTTGGCTGGAATGATGAACAAATAAATTATGCGAATCACTGACAACATGCGACCCGTTGACCCTTTGACCAATTTCAGGGACAACATGCGACCACTTTTCAGGCCAAAAAAGGAACCCCCCATTTCTTGTGGTGGTTGATGACATTTGTTTACCCCCAAGCACGGCAATCCCGTTTCTTTTATTTTTTCTGGGGGAACAACCCCTCAAATGACTCCTCGCGAAAAGGGGGTGTCTCCCCTACTAGGGGTATCTTCCATTTCCATTCTTTCCAGGGATCCTCGTTTCTTTTCAGGAGACCATCAACCGGGGGAAACAGATCCGGTTTTTGAAAAGAGCGATGGTTGAAAAGAATGGAAAAGGAATCACCCCCTAGAATGATAAGGGTTCCCATCAAGGGAATATTCCCCTGTTGGTTTTAAAGGGAATCTATCACTGCACAAATCGATCAAAGGAAATTAATGAGGAATCAAGGCCTCTGCTCACTTCCTGAGCTCAGACTTGAGTCGCTTCTTGGACCATTTGTGTTGAAAGAAGTTCGGATCACTTTGGTGCAAGCCTCGGGAAGCCTCGGGAAGCCATGGGCTTTTTGGTGTCCTGTTTGGTTTGCTTTGGCAATAGAGGGCCCTGGTTTAGATGGGCCATTCACCGTTTATTGAAGGGATAGGGTTTATTTACCAGGGCCATATATATATATATATATAAACATGTACGGTACCATTTAAACAAATAGGGCTTGTTCCATTTGCCAGGATTTCTAACAGGCCACCTGTGCTCATGGGTTTCTCCGTTTTCATGGGCCCAGCCCATGTTGATTGCCGCGGAGGGCGCCTGGAGCGTCTCCGGCAACTTCTGGCGCGCCCGGACGCTGCGAGCCTGAGGCTCGATCAAAAAGCGGAGGGTTGGCCCCTGTTTCGGGGGTGCAAAAGGGGAAGACGCGAAGTGTTGTTGTTGCGTTTTGCTTGGATGTTACGACTTCAACTGTTTGCCAACTAATGGGTGTTCCATCAAACCAAAAGTTAAACTTTTAGCAGGGGAGCAGAAAGCAACCGAGGAATTGTCAGGGGATACTTTGCGGAAAACCCTCATTGGGGGTATCCTGGGTCCTTCAAAATTATGTTAGACTGCACATGGACAGGATGGATGAAGCCTTATGAAATCTGGTTGATAAATCAGCAGCTAGTGCAAAGCGGATTTGGTCAATTTGCAGCATGGACCAGGGTCCAAAAACGGTGAGTTCAGAGGACCCCCCTCCCAGGTTTTGTTTCCTTCTTGACATGTCCAGTTGGTGAATGCGGGTTCTTAGAGTCTTACAGCGGTCTAAAAGTTCAAATGGTTGATGCAAGCCCACCGCAAAGGTCAAGCTAGTTTCAAGTGGTTGGCCTTTGGGATCTCCGTTGAAAAAAAAATCCAGGCAAAAAAGCCTGTCGCACAGACCCTTTTCATGTTATTTGCATGAAAACAGGAGAACCTTGTGGTTGCCAACCGCGACTAGGGGCCAAACAAGTTTTCTTTTGGCTACCCCTCTTTTGCTTTTTTTATTGAAACTGAAAGGACAAATTTATGTGGTGTAAACATGACCTCGCGCTTCCCTCATATTGATTGACTCCTAATTATGATGTGAACAATTACTTTTGGGTGTGGTTTTCCTTCAAACCACCACTAGAAGGTCATTTAAAGTGCGTCTTTGAATGCGCTCCAGACTTGGTTGCCACTTCACCCCTGTCGGGCAATGCCACTTAGACGGGCCGAGACTTAGCTAAGTGGTAACCAATCTTAGAAGCCGTCTAGCATGGTTGTAAGCCACTTCAGTGGGTAGCAAGGGTTAGTAGCCATCTCGCCAACTTCGCTAGCTCCCGGTCCATAGCAGGGATGTTCCACCGAAGCAATCCCGCAACATTCACCTGGAGTTTCGATAACTCCTTAGGAAATTGCTATGAGGTCAATCAGGAACCTCCCATGTGGCTGTTCGGGTAAAAACCTTTTCCTGAATTATGTCCACCAAAGGGTTCATTGTATAAGATGTGTCCAAGATAGGATGCACACCCCCAAGGGGTTCATTGTCTAAAATGGGTTCATATTCCTATACCTTTTCCAAAGGGTTCATTGTATAAGATGCACACCCCCATGAATTCAAAGAGGTTTGAGTGACCGCTCCCCATGCTAAAGGCAGAGACTTCTGGGTGCTTGAGAAAGGAAGCACACCCCCAAGCACTGGACAATTCTTCCCATGGGACAAGTTCTCTTGAATCGGTTTCAACGCGGGACCAGCTTGGAGGCGGCAACCTGCAAAACCCACCGCCCCCTTCCCCAGAAGTACCTCCCCTGTCTTTATTTGTTTTTGCTTTTTTGGGGTTCCCCTTGTTTTCCACTACCGGGCATTTTTATTTTTTTTGCAACAAGGTCCTAATTCCAGCCATATTGTGGTTTAGTGGTTGAAATCCAAATCCACTGAACTGCTAAAGTTTATTTTTTTTGCTCCCCAAACCCAACGTCAACCAAGCCCAGACGCCAGGATCTCCGGTGCAACTTTGGTGTCCGCCTGTTGCGCCCTGGGCAGTGAGCACGCGCTGGAGCTTGCGGTGGCCTCGTTGCTGGAGCCTCGGATTCGGATGACACCGGTCCAACAAATTTTCTCGGCCAAGAAGCTCTTCAAGCCGCAAGTTGCTTGAACATTGCTTGGTGGCTCCCAGCCATCCGGTTCCTTAGCTTTGTAGCCTTGTAGTGTTTAGTGGTAGCTTCCAATTTGACCCACTAAAAGTTAAGCTTTCAGCGGGGGATCTGAGGGCAGCCCAGATTGACGAAGGGTTTCATTCGGTTTCTCGTGGCTACCCTCGTGCCCGAGGTTTGGTTTGCCCCAGCATTGCTAAACCCCAAGTTGATCAGTTGTGGGGGGGTGTCTCACAAGTGGAATTCGCCAGAGCCTGTTCCGGCGATGCAATCAAGTGGCTAACTTGCTGTGCGTAAAGCCGGCCTTTTCAATGGCAATCCTTGATGAGTTTCACAGCGGGCCCCTGTAGTGATTGGCTGTGTTGTTTTAGTTGGTGTCCTTTTTGCTTCCCTTTAAAACCGACCAAAAAGGGTACCCTCAAAAGGCAACACACCCATTTCACAGTTGATATTGCGGACTGACTAGGATTGGCCAAGCCTCCATTTCAATGAAAACACGTGGTTGGTGTCCTTCGGTTTCCCGTTGAAACCAACAGGCGATTCCCAAAAGAGTGTTCCCTTAGGTCGTGCAATGTGTTGGTAGAACATTTCCCCTATTACGGTTATGGGGTCGTTGCCAATCTGTTTTTGAGGAGCCACGCTTCGGCAGAGTGTGTGACGGGATTTTTGGAGCAACCCTGTTCAAAAACCCATCCAGGTCGCCCAGTGGCGCTCGTTGTTCTTTCTTCTGCAGGGGCGGTTCCCTTCAGCAACCAGCAAACGTGTGCCGGTTTTTGCACCCCGGGAAGTCCATCTATACTCCCAGACAACTGGAGTTGGAACTCAAGCCCAGCAGTTGTCCAACCCTGAACGTGTTTTTGACCTTCAGACAGATGTGTTGGGACTTGGGATCCATGTTTTAGCAAGCAAACCCATTCTTCAGCCCCATGTGTCAGCCCATGTATCATTGTAGCTTTTGGAAATCTGGGCCAGAACAGCTAAAGGCGTAAAGGTCCATGTTTTTACCTGCAAACCCAGCGTTTCCTCAAACAACATATTTCGGCCTGCAACCCGACTTAGGGCTACCTCCTAGTTGGCATTGTTTTTTGATTTGGAGCTTCGGACGTGACATAGTATTTGATTTTGATACTGTGGATGGACGAAATCCATTTCGCACCACCTAAGAGACGTGGAAGGATGATTCCCCTGTAAATACCAACAAACCATAGTTTCCCTTCATTTCAAAGTGGTGCAGGATTTCTCCCATCCACATGATCAACTTAGAGGAATCTCTTCTTAACGTGGCCCAAACGGTGATGTTTGAAACGGGCTGGCAAGGGAACTGTACTGTGGATGGACCCCCTAAGTGGAGTTCACCCTCGTGACATAGCCGGGTTGCTTACCGCTTGCTGTACGTCAAAGGCTGAATGAAAACGTCCATAGATGAACCCCTGGTATGAACCCCATGGCTTAACTCAAAAGCAGCCCACCAAGGGGTCCAAAATGGATTCCCGTGGGTTATACGGAAGTATGCACTCAGCCTTTTACTAAGTTGGGCGTTGGTCAAAATTAATCTACCAGGGGACCGCCTCTTATAGTCATGGGTTCCATTTTGCAGGGTTCCATTTTGGGCACCCATGACCCACAGCCACTTGGCCGATAGGAACCCCTCCCGTTTGAGACAGCTTTGCGCGTCTCGTCTCAGACCGCAGCAGCTGAATGCAGTGGACAGCCTGGGCTTTCCGGTGCTCCACGGCGCCTGCGAGCGCCGGGAAGGCGTCGGACTCTTAAGCCGGCTGCTGGAGGCGAAGGCGAAACGGGCCGAAGGGTCCTTTTCGCGTGTCCTCAGTCTCACTTCCTGAGTGGATTGGCCAGAAAATGTCTGAACTTTTTGTTTACCACGAAAAGTAGGCTTCCCAATAAGTGTGGAGTCCAGGAACCCCGGAAATGAAGCACACAGTGAACTGAGTGGCCATGTTTTGTTGGATGTTTTCCCGAAAGGAAGCCGAATAGGGATGGATGGGCCGGGTGATTGGTTGAATTTCTCAGACCTCCAATTTAGCCTTCAGCTATATACTCCTTCAGTTCGTGGACTCTAGTCTGTTTGTGGACCACTTTAGTGGCAAACACAATGTACTTTTTGTTGGCTCCACTTGAGAAGCAACTTCTTTTTGGATCGGTACGTGGGCCAAATGCAATGAGTATGGCAGCTTCTCAGATAGGTATGACACGCTGGTCTCAACACGTGAGCAACAGCACACCCGAACAGGCTGGCGGATGTCGCCTTGTTCTTTGTAGTACTCTCTGAAATGTTTACAAGCATCGAACAGATTGCTATTTGAAAAGAAGAAGGCTTGCAATTTCAAATGTATGTGTGTGTGTGTATTGTTTGGTTGGGTTCTCTTTTCGGGCTACATTAAAGGGAAGCAGCAAGGCAAGCCACCGTGTTGGGTCCCGGGCCCACAATTTTACACATACCCAAACCTCTCAATAGATGGCTGGCTTTTGGGGGCGAGCAAATGAGCAGGGTTTTTATCTATTTGACCACAAGACGAGCAAGCGTGCAAGAGGTGTCCATGCTCACTGGGCAAAAGGGAAAACGGGACCTCCGAGCGCCTCCTTCGGTTTCCCTTTGCCCCCGGACGCATTTGGGACCGAGCAGGCGCTGCCAGAACAGCTCACCGCTGACGGGCGGTACCGCCTGGGCCAAACGCCGGGCGCCTGGATTGGGCTCCGATGGGTCCGGTGCTTAACTGGCTGGGTCTAAGGGACGGGTACGCAAACGGGCACAAAACCATTGACCCACGGATCACGAGCAAAATGGTGGCTTTCAATCACCAGCCAGTTCGGTTGACCAGGGCTGTGGACCCTCGCTTGGCCATGTGAGTGGCGTCAAACGCTGAAGAATTTGGCCATTTTGTAGCACGTGTTTGTCTGACAAAGTGCAGGATGGGAAAGTGTTGGCAGCAGTGGAGAAGACATGGGGGAGCTACCAGCCGTAACAGGAATTTGCCCCCGTCCCTTGTTTGTGGATTGCCGCCGTGGAACTGTCCTCACTTTGCGTCTTTCGAGTGATTTCGGGGGGAAGCGGCGGGGTGTGGGGGGGGTGCGTGCTAGTAATAACGTCCTCGAATTCTCGCAGCTTTCGGCCCATGTTGTGTGCGCGCTCACTTTCGACGCAGCTTGGTTTCGAACCGGTTTAACCCACATGATGGTGTTAGAGCATTTAAGCACGGCAAGTGTGTTGTCGCTCGCGCAACGTTAAGCACCACAGGATGCTTTCCTTCCTTCTGCTTCTCCGGCTCGGTGGCTTGCGTTCGCTTCCTAACGTTGATCTGCGGCTGGCAGGCTTTTTCTCATTTCGGTGGCGTATCTGTAGTATCTTCGTCGCATAGCTTGCCTCTCCCCTGCTGACCCTTGGGTTCAGTTTGTTCAAGGCGTTGCTTTGATTGAAGAGCGCTTCCCCCTTCTCTTCTCTGCCCTAGCAGAGTCCGCATCCCTCTTATACTTGCTGTAGCTTCGTGCGCTGGATGCAGCATCCACCAGGCTGACCAGCTTCTTCACTGCAACCATGGTGACCACCACCAGGATGCTCAAAGCCTGTGCTGGACATGAAACAAAATGTGGCTGTTCCAAAAAAACCTTTAATGCCATAATATACAAAAAACAACTAATACCAATCATGGAATCCAAGAGTCAATCTGAAACAGGCTCGCCCCCAAGATCTCCTCCAGCTGAATGACCAGAGGAGGCTCATGGGGTTGATGCCTGCTCAGGGCTTACTTAATCAGCCAAACAGAAAGCAAAAAGCCAACACAGCTTAAGCAAAAGCACCTGAAGCCATTTCTGAAGTGATTATCAATGCCACAATGAAGATGATCTTAAGAGCCATCCTTAGCAGGGGGCTGGCTGCCACTGTTTGGTTACAAAAGCAACCTTTAAAAAATACTAAAAACAACAACTAGATTAAAAAAGAACAGGTTGCAGTCCAGTTGAGTTGAGCAGCTCAGAATGGCTCACAACTGAAGCAGAATCTGAAGCTTGAAGTCTTCAAAAGCTCTGGCAAACATGCAGCACAACAACCTGAACATGCCCACCTGTCAAGCTCAACTTCCAAGCCAAAGCTCAACATCCAAGCATGCTCAAGTTCCCACATGCTCAAAACACATGCTCAGCTGCAAGGCTCAACTCCCAAACACAAGATAATTTCCGCCTTTTGCCGTAACTACATGAATTTTATTCGTTTCCATCAAGAAACACCTTTTCCTTCAAAAAGCGCCTTTGGGACACCTGCCTAGAACAGGGTTCGGCAAAAAACGCCTTTGTATTGCCAAAAAACGCTTTGGTATCGGGGAGAAAACGCCTCCGCCAGTTTGTTGCACACATCCCAAAAAAACTCAGGAAATTTGCCTCCAGGCAAAACTATGATGACCTTCCTTGAAAAAGCAGTTTCCCACGAAAAGGCAGAAAACATCGGACTTAGGAAGATCCAGGTATTATATTGGCTTCCAGGAACTGTACTCTTCACCTTTTGCATGATGAAATTGTGCTTGGATCGAGGGGGCCTGCCAAGCCCAGTTTCCTACCCTGACTTGCTTACAGGTTGAACGACCGTACCGTGCTACTTGTACGCCCGCATTGTGAGGCTTCTGGCGGGACATCACGGGGCGAGGGGTGGCGACATGAGTGGGAGTCGGCGGCGGCCGGCACGAGTTTGGCCAAACGCACGCCTTACCCATGATGAAGTGTTGTTTATCCTTCGTGTCTGAAGCATGCACCCAAAACTCTCCTAGAGTTGTCCGGCGAATCTGTCGAACAACTTAGAGCGAGACTTTATGTCAGCAAGAGTTTAGCAAGATGGCACCAGTCTGCCACAATGCAGATGTTCAATGGAGCCGGCACGCTCACCGACCCACTGCAGCAGTGCACGACCCCTTGTTGCACCATGATGTTCATCGCGCGTCAGCGCAATCAGCTCAAAAGGGCGCTGTCTTTGGGATGCGCTGCCGGCGCTTTCTAGCTGCGTTGCGCCATCGTGGATATCATCTGCACCAGTTCCTATTCTGAGCAGTGCGCCTGTTTGGGCCTGGCCCAACACCTGAGCAGATGCTAGTGTACTGAACGACAAATGTCGCACAAGAACCAGGGGACAACCTGATCTACCAATATCCTGTTGAGCAAAGTCTGCGAGTCATATGGCTCAGCTGGCCCAGGTCAACCATCTACAACGAGGCCCGATTGCAAAGCGCAGCGGAGTTCAACTGGATTGAAACACATGGGTTTTTCAGAGTTTCTGGATGTTATACGTTTTTTGGGAAGACCACTTCAATTGTAAGCAAACAGTGTGTACTTTCTGTTGGACACTCCACTCAGACGTGAGGTTACAACCAAGACTGGAAAAGCCTCCCATGTTTACCAAGCAAACATGATATCCTGCACATGTTACGTTCCCCCGGTGGGAACGTGGAAACTTGTTGCTCAAGATCGGGGATATCATTGCAGCCGTCCGCGCCACTGCAGAATCATGCATATGCGTTTGCGCGCACGTCTGACTGGATTTGCAACCTCGCAGATGTGTCCCAGGGCTCTTGTTTTTGGAAAGCAGAAGCTGGTAACCCTGGGATGGCATGCAATGCTTCAGCCTCAGCTACCGAAGGGTTACATATACTTACATTTTCCAGCTGTGATGGTACTTTAAGAAGCAGTTGCTTGTGTATGCCATGCACCTCCCTTCCAACCAGCTAACCTTTTGTTTTCAGTGGACTACTGAACACGATCTTCGAATACTCTTGACAGAATACACAACCCGGTGCAGTAGCATTGCAGTCAACAGCCTTCAGTATCTGCAAATCAACTGGCACGCAAAAAGGAGATCCCCAAAAAGAAGTTCTTTGGCCAGGGTGGGCGGACAGCCTTCCACGTGGCCGCCACCACGGGCGACGCAGAGATTGTCCAGCTCTTGCTGAAGTCAGGCGCGACTTCTTGCGATAGCGCAGCGTCGTCCCGTCCTTCGGTGCTTGTTGTTCAAGTTCATTTTGAGTTGGTCTTCCTGATAAATCGACGACCAAATAGGGTGATGTCTCCTTTTTCCCCACTGCAGGTTTGGGGCTTGGTTGTGAATTGCCTGACTGTCTTCTCTGTTCTCGGTATGTGTGTTTGGTCGGGACCCAACACTGGGGTTCAGACATGGATGCTTCTTCAAACATGCCTGTTTTAAGGCTATGACGTTGAATTTCAACTATATAGATATATTGTCACGCATGTGCAAAAAAGACACTAGACATGTACATGTACATATCAATCTATGAATGTAGACGCCACCAAAAAAAAATACAGCGAGCCCCGGGTCCACCAGGCCCTGGTGCCCTCGACGCGCTGGACAGCTTCGGCAACCGGCCGCGCGACCTGGCGGAGGAGCGGCGGCAGAATCCATTTGCCCAGGTCATTCGTGGGGCACGTAGCTTCCATTGGCTGAAACGAATATGGTTTAAGTTTCCCCCTGTTGGTTTTGAAGGGAGTCTATCACTACTGGAAATCGGTTTTGAAGGGGGCACAGGGTTGTTGTTGGGAAACGTGTTTCATTTTTGCTTATTGTGGTTGTTGCGTGGGAAATCCCACGGAACTGCCATATTTGTTTGCTCTCCTTCCAACGTCAACCAAGAGTGGGGCATGCAGTCAGCTGTTTGGTCACTCCTTATTTTACACTTTCGGGTACCAACTTCGGATTGTTCCGCAATATCTTCCTTTACGCTGTATCCTTAATCCTTACCTTGGGTTTCGGAATGGGTGCCCTTTGTAGTGGTTTCCAGGGATTAAGGATTGGGATTGGCCAGCCCTCCATTTTGAACAGATAGACCAAAACTACATACACCAAACGTGATTGGAGCAGCTTCTGCAATTCCGCAGGAAGTTCGCCAAAACCTGGCTGTTTGGCTGACTTGGATAATTTCCTGGTCACTTCGCTACAGATTAACACGGAAAATCCAAAAAGCTGTCCAGCGCAATCAAGCGCTGCTGGCACTGTAGTCGACAGATGAGCTGCGGGCTGCTGACAGCTTGGTTCAAGAGCCGATGGTGTTCGCGCAGCTCGTCGCAAATGCCAATGCTGCTCGCACGGGCAAAGTGAAGATCTGGCGAGTCAAAGGAGCTGTTCGCAAATATGGCTTTTCTCTTCGCGAAGCTCAGCACTCTGCATGCCTGTCCAACTTTGATGAGCTGATGCAAGCTCCTTGGCAAAGTTCGCACATTGTTATGCGTCTGTAACCTTGATCTTTCACCCACACTGTGTAGAGGACACTTTTGGGACATGGCCCCCTTTTTGGGGTAAGATCTAGGTCCCCCAGTAGTGCCCTTCTCTCTCCTTTCTTGGGGGTCTACAATAGCAGACTACAGGAAAAAATCGGGTACTTCAGTGGTGCCCTTTCTCGCTTTTTTTGGGTTGGGAGGGGTCAAATAGACCAGAAAAAGGTTGGCTCTGCAAAACCTAGCGAAATTCCTTAGACATCCCTGAAAGCAGGGAGGTAGAACCACGAGGCGCTCCCTTTCATTGACTCAACTGGAGGACGTAGAGATGGTCAAGAAATCGGAGCAGAGGAGCAGATGATGCTGGAGCCGGGGAAGGGCCATGAAAGGGTCTTCGAGCTCTTTGGAGGCCCGGCCGCGGGGCCCCCGAAGGAACGAGCTCGCCAAACCCAACAAAACATGGAAAAAAGGCAGGGGAAACGCAGAATGTCTCGTAAAAAGCGATGAAAAAGGCAGGGGACTCGCAGAATGTCGCGCAGGGGGCTTCGCAAAAGGTCGCATGTTCTTTTGGGGGAACGGTCCATTTTGACCGTGGAGCATATGTGGAGGACAAAGCGAACTGAGAGTACATCCACGAAGAAGGCAGCGTTTCTACCTCGCTCAGACCAGGGCAGTAAAGGTGGCGCCAAAGCCTATAGTCAGAACTAGGTCAGTGCATTCTTTGATTCTTCACTTCGGCGTCAGACATGTTGAGACTAACATTCCACCGACTTGGAACGCTCGCTTCCTGAATTCTTGGACTTCGAACTTTTTGTGAAGACCATTTCAGTGGTAAACAAACAGTTCAAACTTTTTCTGCCTAATCCACTCAGGAAGTGAGAATGTGTCAAAACTGGGGTGTCTTTTGGATTCTGAAAGGACGCTCCGATCATCTCGGAAGATTTCTGAACAAAGAACCATGCGCTGAAACGACAATCGCTTTGACATGTCCGTAGGTTGCGTGTTCGAATTTCTTCCTTGAATACTTCGCGCAAGTGTACCAAGGGTGTATACTGGCAATGCACAAATATATATATATATATATGTATGTATGTATGTATGTATGTATGTATGTATGTATGTATGTATGTATGTATGTATGTATGTATGTATGTATGTATGTATGTATGTATGTATGTATGTATGTATGTATGTATGTATGTATGTATGTATATTATATATCATGAATAGAATCAAATTTGTATATATATATATATATACTCATACAAAGATACTTTATAGATAGATATATATATATATATGTGCTCACCCCCCCCCCCCGCAGGGCCTACCTTTACACTTGTACAGTTTAGAAAAAACTGATAATTTCAAGACTATGCGGTGAGCATATATATATATATATACATACTAGTCTGTTGCTAGAAGCCCAAACAAAGTCCTTCAAAGTATCTCTGTTTTTCTTGTAGCTATGATGTCGGAAGCCAGTGAAGGCCCTGAATGCCCTGTCTTGCCTACTGACCTTCCTCTTGTTCATCCCCAGAACAAGAGCAAGGCAAAGCACTTCTTCGACTTTGTTGGCCTTATAGCCTTCGATGCTTCTTTGCAATCTCAAGTCAGCAGCGCGGCTAAGGATGGCCGCTTTGCGGGCATGCCAGCGCCTTTTCGCTTGAAGACTTCTCCTGGTATGTCATATAATCTTCAACTTGTTGTCCTTCCTCTTCCCAATGGGCTTGCAGGCACAAGGGTGTCAACCTGTGGGACGCCACAGGCAACATGCTGCAGACTTTGCAGCAGTAGGCTCGAGACGCTCATGGAGACTTCTTGAAAGTTTTGCAGCACGCTGCTTCTGTGAAAAAGCTCAGCAATCTGTCTTCCATTCTTCAGAAACAAGTAAAGGATTTGTTTTGTTTGAGCCTGTGCAGGTTTTAAGCGCCCAAGGCTCCAAGACCTGCACAGGCTCAAAAAAACAACAAAATCAAACTTGAAAGCTCCAAAAAACCTGCACAGGCTCCAAAAAATGCAAGAAAATTTATAAATCCAGACCAATCAAGCCCTGACCTTCGACATTGCATCTGGGTTTTGCATTTGTTTGGCATTGTTTGAGCCTGTGCACGTTTTGAGGCTGAAGCCATTAGCAAAACGTAAAAACATGGGCTTTGTTTGCAGTTTCCTTTCAAACACACTGCAAATAACACTGTTTTCAACACTGACAAAGTTGCATCTGAAAACGCTTTCCGTTTTCGTGTTTTTTGCTTCTTGAGTCTTGATTTGCATCAAGTACAGAAAGAACATCTGTCACAATATCAAAAAATCGCACAAACACACCGTAAAACGCAGTGTTGTCTGCAAGGCATCTGGAAACCAAGTGGACACTGAACATCTGTAAATATGTCTCTTTCATGCAAAAAGTAGAAAGGTAGGTTTTGGGGAGGGGTGACCATATATATTTATAATGAGGAAGGGTTACGCTGACTTTCGGACAGGTTCCCTTCGCAGGTGTTTTGTGCCTTTGTGCCGTAGGGCTCGTACAAAAGTCCTCCCAGGCCGATTGAGCGCTTGGCGGGGCTCCAGTATTCAACTGGCAACCCTGGACAGAATCAGCAGCGCACTTGCATTTGCTGAAATGTTTTTTGTTTACTCGTCCCCTTCTTGTTTCAAAGAGAATCTGTCTCTATTTGACATTTTTCTCACTTTCTTCCAGGCGGGCTGAAGCAAATGGAAGCCTATGGCTCACTTCCCAAGTTTTTCTGGACTTTGTACTCTCTTTTTTTTTGGGGGGGAAGCAACACCTTTGAGTGGTAAACAGTTTGGACTTGTTTGGCCCTCGCGGGAACTTTGGGTTTTGGGTGCCACCGTAAATTTGTTTCGGGCTCGCCGCGCTTCGCCAGGGTCCTCCACTTCTCTGACCGCAGCAGAGGCCCGCTCGGTCACGGGTGCATCTTTGCTTCGACGGGATCAGGACTTCGTTGGTATGGGCGTGTAAATTTTAGGGTACCTTTGTTCGGTTGATTTCAAGCGGCACCAAAACGAAACCAAGTATTCGGGGGTTTCCGTCCTTGAGACAAACCCGCATGACGCGCTATGCCAGTAAGGCCTACTTGGTATGAACCCTGGCTTGGTCAATCAGCAACTTGCTTGCTCCACAAAATCAAGCAATGCCTTGCCCTGCTCACCATCTCGATGTACGAGAATGCCAACCAACCACTTCTTGTCACTAGTTGCTATGGCTCCCCTGGCCCATATGGTCAAAACCATCAGTCAGGTTTCCCTTTTTCAATCAGCAACAAAATCCATCATAGGAAACCTATGTCCAATCCCTTTCCCCTTAAAGCCTAAAAACATGTACCCCTCGTAGAAAACCCCAAAGCTCAGTGCTTGCCACCAGCCACCAATGTGGTTGGTTTCCCACCTCAAGCACCCTGTCCCTCTCACACCCGAGCGCTCTTCCTCCAACACCCGCTCTCTTGCACACACATCGGCAAGGACCCCGCACCTTGAGAGCAGTCGAGGCATACCATACTTCGATTTTAAAGGCTGATGGACCGCTTTTTGGGCCGAGGCCTTTTGGGGTCCAGCAAGGTAGTTGGTTCCCCATAAGGCGACCACGCGCAACAGTAGTGAAGAACGGTCACCGTTCACGCCGTCCAAGCACTTAGACCAAGCCCCAAAAGGTAAATGGTTCATTGCCGCATCCTTCCTTTTGAGCTTTCATGACGTGGAAAAAAACCTGTCCACTTGGCTTGTTTTCATCTAGTCAGGTTTTGTATTACACCCTGAGAATACACGCACTACGTATTGACCCCATTTAGGAGAACACCGTGTCATTTTGAGCCATTCTGGTTCACTTCCCAAGGGAGTAATTCCAGGGTGTAATACAAAAACTATCAGAATTCAAACATCAGTGTGAACATAAAATGGTCAATGTGAGGCGCCACGGAATCCAAATGGCATGATTCTTCAGGCGGAAGCAGGAAAGGGAGCAAGAGATTTGATTTGTTTTTCTTCATGAGAGGAGTCTTCTTGCTGTTTTTTTCTTTAGAGGATTCTTGATTCTTCTTGAGGATTCTTCATGTTGCTTTCGCTTCTCAGATGCGACTCTGAGATGAGTATGGGTCAAAATGAAACCACCAGGAAGTGGACCGCATTTTTTTGTTCGTTCTATGTTTCCATTTAAAGGGCCACGTATTGACCCCATTTAGGAGAACACCGTGTCATTTTGAGCCATTCTGGTTCACTTCCCAAGGGAGTAATTCCAGGGTGTAATACAAAAACTATCAGAATTCAAACATCAGTGTGAACATAAAATGGTCAATGTGAGGCGCCACGGAATCCAAATGGCATGATTCTTCAGGCGGAAGCAGGAAAGGGAGCAAGAGATTTGATTTGTTTTTCTTCATGAGAGGAGTCTTCTTGCAGTTTTTTTCTTTAGAGGATTCTTGATTCTTCTTGAGGATTCTTCATGTTGCTTTCGCTTCTCAGATGCGACTCTGAGATGAGTATGGGTCAAAATGAAACCACCAGCAAGTGGACCGCATTTTTTTGTTCGTTCTATGTTTCCATTGAAAGGGCCCTTATTTTTGGGGGGCCTTAGTTGTAACCCACCAGATAGAAGGCTTAACGCACAGAACTCACCGGCCATGAGAGCCCCGGAAGCCGGAAGCTCAGGCGCGAGCGCGCCGAAAGGCGCGGGAGCACGAGCTCCGGCGCCGGGTGGCGTGCCAGGCGCGGGCAAAATGGGGCGGAAGGGGAGCCCGGCAAAGGAACCCAAATGCTTCCATTGGCTGAAATGAATATAATGTTTTTGCTTTTTGTTCTTTTGTTTTGTGTTGTTTTTCAAGGGAATCGATTTCACTTCTGGACAGATTTGTATTTTTCCAGGGGTCTTCATCAAATGGAAGAGTAGGTACCCCCCTTTCGCTAACATGGCTTTGGTGCATTGTGCTTGGTGCTTTGGTGCTTTGGTGCATTTTGCATAGCGAGAATCAGCTTCCCCCGAGTTGGCTTCCATTGGCTGAAAGGAATATTTTTTCATTTTCCCCTGTTGGTTTTCAAGAGAATCGATTTCACTTCTGGACAGATTTGTATTTTTCCAGAAGTCTTCATCAAATAGACAAATTTGGGTACCCTCCCTTTCGCTAACATGGCTTTGGTGCATTGTGCTTGGTGCTTTGGTGCATTTTGCATAGCGAGAATCAGCTTCCCCCGAGTTGGCTTCCATTGGCTGAAAGGAATATTTTTTCATTTTCCCCTGTTGGTTTTCAAGAGAATCGATTTCACTTCTGGACAGATCCAGGGGTCTTCATCAAATGGAAGAATAGGTACACCCCCTTTCGCTAACATGGCTTTGGTGCATTGTGCTTGGTGCTTTGGTGCATTTTGCATAGCGAGAATCAGCTTCCCCCGAGTTGGCTTCCATTGGCTGAAAGGAATATTTTTCATTTTCCCCTGTTGGTTTTCAAGAGAATCGATTTCACTTCTGGACAGATTTGTATTTTTCCAGGGGTCTTCATCAAATAGACAAATTTGGGTACCCTCCCTTTCGCTAACATGGCTTTGGTGCATTGTGCTTGGTGCTTTGGTGCATTTTGCATAGCGAGAATCAGCTTCCCCCGAGTTGGCTTCCATTGGCTGAAAGGAATATTTTTCATTTTCCCCTGTTGGTTTTCAAGAGAATCGATTTCACTTCTGGACAGATTTGTATTTTTCCAGGGGTCTTCATCAAATGGACAAATTTGGGTACCCTCCCTTTCGCTAACATGGCTTTGGTGCATTGTGCTTGGTGCTTTGGTGCATTTTGCATAGCGAGAATCAGCTTCCCCCGAGTTGGCTTCCATTGGCTGAAAGGAATATTTTTTCATTTTCCCCTGTTGGTTTTCAAGAGAATCGATTTCACTTCTGGACAGATTTGTATTTTTCCAGGGGTCTTCATCAAATGGACAAATTTGGGTACTCTCCCTTTCGCTAACATGGCTTTGGTGCATTGTGCTTGGTGCTTTGGTGCATTTTGCATAGCGAGAATCAGCTTCCCCCGAGTTGGCTTCCATTGGCTGAAAGGAATATTTTTTCATTTTCCCCTGTTGGTTTTCAAGAGAATCGATTTCACTTCTGGACAGATTTGTATTTTTCCAGGGGTCTTCATCAAATGGAAGAATAGGTACCCCCCCTTTCGCTAACATGGCTTTGGTGCATTGTGCTTGGTGCTTTGGTGCATTTTGCATAGCGAGAATCAGCTTCCCCCGAGTTGGCTTCCATTGGCTGAAAGGAATATTTTTTCATTTTCCCCTGTTGGTTTTCAAGAGAATCGATTTCACTTCTGGACAGATTTGTATTTTTCCAGGGGTCTTCATCAAATAGACAAATTTGGGTACCCTCCCTTTCGCTAACATGGCTTTGGTGCATTGTGCTTGGTGCTTTGGTGCATTTTGCATAGCGAGAATTCCATTGGCTGAAAGGAATATTTTTTTCATTTTCCCCTGTTGGTGTTGAAGGGAATCAATTTCACTACTGGGCATATATATATATATATATGTATATGTATATTTTTTTTCCCAAGGGGTCTTAATCAAATAGACAAATTTGGGTACCCTCCCTTTCGCTAGCATGGCTTTGGTGCATTTTGCTTGGTGCCTTGGTGCATTTTGCATAGCGAGAATCAGCTTCCCCCGAGTTGGCTTCCATTGGCTGAAAGGAATATTTTTTCATTTTCCCCTGTTGGTTTTCAAGGGAATCGATTTCACTTCTGGACAGATTTGTATTTTTCCAGGGGTCTTCATCAAATAGACAAAAAATGGGTATCCTCCCTTTCGCTAACATGGCACCTGACACCCTTGCAAGAGAAGATTGATCTTTCACTCCCAAAGTTTCCATGTTAGTGGAGGGAGGGTGCCCGGGTTTGGTTTGTTGACAGTAAGCCCAAAGGGAACGCCATTTTTGAGGGTCTAAGAAAAGGACGCCCAAACGGCTGAAGGAAACTGCCGGGATCTTCGTTTGGATAAAAACATGTGGATGAAATCCTATGAATACTGGGACTAGGAACCTACCAAGTGGTGGATTGTGTCCATCCAGAGTAGGTTTCCGTTTGATGGCTTGCGAGATTTTAGTGCATTTGGTGTTTGACATAGTTGCTCGGTCGTGCGGTTTAAGCATCACGCCAGGTTTGATCGAGTTTCTCTTTGGAGTGATGTTGCTCTGGGTTGATGTGACGTGTATGGGGCAGCTGCTTGGATTTCTGTAGGGAGTCTCTAGTTTTGGCGCATTCCCATTCTTTATCCAGGTTTCTGTGCGTAGGGGGTTGCCGCCGATGGGCGGCTTATAGGTTTTGGGTAGACGCCTCTCAAAGTGTCAGACCCCATTGGCCCATGTCTTCAGTTTGCTGGTTTTGAACAGCACCTGGTGGTTTCCGATGTACTTGGAGTTTTCTTTGATGTAGGTCGGATATCTGAACCTATATAAGTGCAGCGGTTCTGGCTATGCCATCGGTCAGGACGAGGAGAGGTGCCTTCAAGAGAAGATGGTCATGGAAGAGGCACCGGCGACCCGATGAGAACTGCGACCCAAACGCTTTGGGAGAGCTACACAAACTACTTGTAGGTCCCCCAACTAGGTGCCCGTTTTAACCCCTTTTTTGGGGAAGGGTTCCCCTACTAAAATAGACTACAGAAAAAGGGTACCCTTATTCTCACCTCTCTACTGGAGGACCTAACAAAATTCCTTAGGCATCCCTGGAAGCAGGGAGGTAAAACCACGAGGCACTTCATGGACGACATCCATGTCGCACCACCCAAGAAGCCCTGGAATGAAGATTGCCCTCTACATACCAAACTTGCAATGGGTTTCCCCTGAGTTCCAAGTGGTGCGAAATGGATTTCGCCACCATCCACAGTCGGCGTAGCCTAGACACAGCTCGCGAACCTGGGAGCCATGTAAGGAAGGTACCCTCCTGTGTCCCAGGCAATTTCTGGAAGGGGCCTTCCCTGGTTTTTCCAGCTGGGGGTGGGGATGGTGGGGAGTTGGGGTGGGGAGTTGTTTCCATTTGCAACGCCGAACTCGAGGCGTTGCGCGCCTACCAGCCACTCGATGCGCCCCTGGTATCCGGAGAATGGCCGAGCTGGTGGTGGGCTCAGCGTAGGCGTTTCAGGGTTTCACATCTCTGCGATCCCAGACTTGCTGTTTTGGGCTCGCCCGCCAAGAAGGTTTGGAGCTCAACGCTTTGCTGCTCATGGAAAGTAGGAACTGGCCAAGAAAGCAGCAACACATTCAAGGTTAGCAATTCACCAGCAGCGCAGAATAACCCTGTCGCAGTGGAATGCAGAATGGAATGCACGCTTCCCCTGGGCGCATAGGTTTGCTCATCCTCAGACTGGGTTGTGGCAGGATGAAATCCCTTCTTGGGCTCGCCCAAGCTTCCGTGGCCGAACAGTTTCGATCGATTTGTTTTGCCGGACTCAAGCTGTCAGCATAATTTGCTCTTGACTTGTCGATGCCAGTCGCTGTGCCTCCTTTTGACGGGGTTGTTTATGACACTTAGAATCTAGCAAAGTCGTTGATTGCTGCGTTGGTTGTTACACATGGCGCCAATCCGCCTCAAATGGAATGTTTTATTTTGGGTGTGGAAACCTTGTCAGGCAGTTGCTTGTTAACATGGTTGTTGTTGGGAAACATTTTACATGTTTGCTTATTGTGGTTTAGTGGTTGAAATCCAACCACTTAGCTGCTATGTTGTTCAATTTGTGCTCCTCTAACCCAACGTCAACCAAGAAAAGCAAGCTCAAGGCAACAGCTCCCGGCAAAGCATAGCGACCTCCACGTGTTTTGCTTGATTCTGGTTGGGAAGATATATGGCTGTGGTTGTCAAATCCAATGGGATCCCATTTTTGGTTGGTAGGTGAATTCACCACCCATTTTAGAACCTATTTTAGTGGTTGGATTGAATCGGATGTTCACTGGGGGTACGATTTGGATTTTGACCCATGGCCATATAGTATATAGTATCTCTGCAGTTTGTTCGCCTTTTCGTGTAGTCGCCTTGCGTGCAAACTCCAACGTTGCAACCTGCTGACACCGCGCGCTTGCTCGCTTGCCCGCCTCTAAGGGGAGACTGCGCAAGCTCTTTGGAGGACGGCAGGCCGACAACAGACCGCTGTTTAAAAGGAATGTCCTAGATTCTCTTTGCCTTTGCTAGGTCTTGTGCAACAATCCGTGGTCGCTATGGATGTGTATGCTTCTTTCATGAACCCGTTTTGGGCGAACGCAAGCCATTTTGGGGGTCCCCCTAGTTTCAAATAAACGATAGTCTTACTTTCAAAGTAAACCAAAGCGGATTCTCTTCACCCCCATTTGAGCAGAACAGGGGACCCTGGTAGTGCGCTTTTGGCGCGTTTTGAGGCTCGCAGTCTTCTCATGGGTCAGCAATGTCAGTTGCACTTGATCTAACACGTGCAGAGGAAACATCTTGAGAAAACAAGAAAACACAAAAACAACTCGAGGAACAAAAATAACACAAAAAAACCTCGAGAAAACCAACAAAAACCAAAAAACAACCTCGAGAAAACCAAAAAGCGCACACACACAAAAAACACATGGTTTAGAAACTCTTTGGAACACAACCCATGTTGAACGAGTTTCTAAACCATGTTTTTTTTTTTTTTGTTTTTTTTTTGTTTTCTCGAGTTGTTGTTGTTGTTGTTGTTGTTTTTTTTTTTTTTTGGGGGGGTTTTCGCGGTCTTCTTTTGTTTCTTGGTTTTCCTCGAGTTGTTTTGGTTTTCTCGAGGTTTTTTAGGTTTTTTGGCTTTCTCGAGTTTTTTTTTGTTTTTTGGTTTTCCTCGAGTTTTGTCATTTGTTCTTGTTTTTTGTTTTTCTTGAGCGTTTTTGGAGTATTCTATGTATATGATGGGCCCTCCTGTGTTCTTGGCTGTTGTGTATGGTTTATTCAGTTACACTTCTCTCGTGAGCAGCGCAGGCGATTTCTCATGTCATGAGTCCTATTTCAATTCAACTTCACCATAAGAACTCTAATTAATTCCTCTTGAACGTCCAAATAAGTGTAAGAAGTCTATTTAAACCAACTAGAAGAAACAACCAGCTTGTCTATCCTTACCAGATTCTACTAAAAGTATAATTAAAGTCTAATCAATAGCCTAGATACTTGGAAGTTAATTCCTATTTCAAGCATGATTCAAAAACAGGTAATTGAATTACTCAGAAGAAACAACCAGCTTGTCTTTCCTTACTAGATTGTAGTTAAAGTATGTTTAAATTCCAATTAAGTTTCGGACAGGAGTTCCTATTTAGACCTGGAAGGAATTTCTGTTTGAATTATAATTCAAAATATGAATTCTAGTTCAACTCTAATTGAATTCATATGTGCAAATGTAAATTCCTATTTAACATCTGAATTATAATAAGAGTTCTAATTAAAGTCTATTTGAAATCCTACTTGGAAGGGAAGTACTATTTAAAGTCTAAATCAAATGAACCTTTGAAGTGAATTCTATTCGAAATCCCGTTTAAACTCAAAGCCTTGCAATTTAAAACTTGCAAACCAAGTGGAAACATGTGTGTTTTCCATGGGTTTTCACCGGTTTTTCACTCCTCCTGAGGGGCTTGCAAATTAGAAGAAACAACAAGCTTGTTATATTCTATTTAAATCCCAATTAAAATCCTACTTGGAAATGAACCCCTATGTTAATTCTAATTAAAACAATATTTTACATTGAATTCTAATTGAAATATGATTGAAACTTAAAGCGTGGCAAATTAAAGCTTGTAAACCATTAGAACTGAAATTGCATGTTCCTTGCGGTTCTATTGTTGTTTCACTCCTTTTAAGGGCAGGCAAATTAGCAGAAACAACAAACTTGTCTTTCCATACTGGAATCTATTTGCATTCAAATTCAACTCTAATGCCAAACAGGAATGAAAGAAAGATGCTAAGATAATTGCAGCTACTCTGGCTTGAATGAGCAGCAACAATTAGCAGCATGTTACAAAAACGAAGAAGGTAGAGGACCTTGAGTGATTCAGAAATCGCAGTTACAAACACTCTTCAGCAAAAGCAATCGTACAACTTGCTCAAGATATCAAACCCCAAAATCACAAAAAAGTGCACTACCACAGTCCCCCAGTCTCCATTTGAGAGGGTCCCGTTTGAGGAGCTGAACAAACTTGTTGAGCTCGCTCGATCGGACTGTTTGACCCAACCATGATCCCTTGTTTCACTGACTCTCCCAACTCTATGGGTTTTAGTGTGTGTGTGTGTGTGTTTTTGTTGAGGGTACCCCTTTTTTGGTGGTTTTAAAGGGACCCCAAAAGGAAAACCACCCTTCTTTGGGGTCCTCCAAAAAGACAGCCCCATATACTTGGTTCTATTCATGTTTCCCGGTTTTAATGCTGCATTTCACCGCGCCTGCTTAGTATTGATCTTCCTCCGAATGGCTTTGCGCCATGCACGTGATGTGCTGCAGATGTTGATACTGACTGTGGAGGCGCTAGCGGTTTACAAGTTGAAAGTGCCCTGAATCACCCCAGAGCTCATGTGCGCGGAGACCCCAAAGCTTGCCGCTGTTGACAAAGCTTGCAGCTGTTGGGGAGAAAGGAAGCACGCAAAGGGACCCCGAAGCGTAGAACATCTTTAGTCTAAGATGGTTTCCGCTAGGCCCATCCCCACAGCACTACTCCGCGTTGGGATGGGAAGCCACGAAAATTGGCATGCGCTGTAAAAAGGAATGCAAATCTATATGCATACATATATATATATATATGCATACATACATACAAATACATACACACCCGAAGTCCATGGATTCCCAATAAGTCCGGGTAGCGCGAGTAATTGGTGGAAGGTATTGTGGATGTGGCCTAGGTGCCTGGCTGAAAGCTTTTCGAGTTTTGAGAACCACTGGATTTCACGTGACTGGTCGGGGTGGAGGTACCATCGATGAAGGAGTTTCAGTCTTCGCAGTTGGAGAAGTGGTAGGCTTCCTGTGCGTTTCCCTTCAAACACCATTTAGAAGAGGGGTGCTGTTGTTGCTTTTGTCATATCCCTGTGTGATGCAGTCTAGTTCATACTCATACCTCTATGTTTTTTGCATGTCGCGACACATTTACAAATCCATCTGTTCAAACAGGCGCAGGCGTGCCCTTGGCTCAATTTCCTTTTGCACCTTAACTAGGCAAAAGGCTTCAACAAGTCAAAGCTACATGCCAGTGACCCCAAGAGTTACTCGCCACCACTTCAACATGGAACCCAAAGACCCGAGCCATTTTAGAGGAGGCTCCTTTGGGAATTGGACAGTTTGTTTTGGTCCCGTGGCGTGCGGCTTTCTTGGATTTCTGGTTTCAGTTCGAAGTGACCCCAATGTGACACGACAAGGCGATCACTTCCTGGGCTCAAGATGGTTGTGAGACCCTGTCTGTGACACCCTGTGAAACCCTGCAGACCCTTGTAAGACCCTGTGAGACCCTGTGAGACCCTGTGAGACCCTGTGAGACCCCGGAGCGGCCTTTGCTCGATTTCGGCTCAGCGGCTTTCGTCCGCTTTGGAAAACGCATCAGCCACTCGACCTTGCCTCTCGGCACTGACTGGCCGGCAGCCAGCCCGTCAGCGTATTTCTGCTGCTCCATGTTGATGCCCCCTTGCGTTCAACAGCACTACCCCCTTAAATATAGAATTGGGGGGGGGGGGTGACCCCTGGAATTCCATGTATGGTTCCATTTCCTTTGTAAGGGGAAGACTAGATAACTGGAATTGGGGACCCCCCCTCCCTCTTATGGTAGGGTGGATGGGTTCACCCGTTCTTTTTCGGAAGCAACCCTGCCCCGTCCAACAATATTTTCCGAAAAGGATTTTGGAAACTGCAACATTGGAACCAGGGCCTGCGGACCCCCAAGTGTCAGTGAGGGAAGTAAGAGATGTCCTACGTTGGCGGTTCTGAAGTTTTCCCGCGGGGCAAATGGACCAAGTGCGCAGAAACCTCTTCAAGGGGCTGTTTGCATGTTTGACCACCCTGCAACATTTACCCGAAGGGGTCCCTGAAAATACATGTATATACACACTGGTTTTGATACTACCAACATGTCAAGAAGTTGGGACATCCCCAAAGGACTTGGGTTTACCTCGAATTTATTCTGATTCCAAAGGTTTGTCTTCTCTTTGGACAGCCCGTTCGGCTCCCGTGCTGGCTATGAATAATCCCCCAATCCTCACTTTGTGAAGCAGGACACTCGAATTTGGAGGCGAAATCAGCACGGGCTTCGTCAGACCGGCCCGACACATGTGGCCTCCAAAAGGAATCCATGTGTACCCACTCGACGGGTCCCCCTTAAATGCTTGTTTCCTTCGCTGTACAACAAGCTCCTTTGTTTTTTTGGAAGTATGACCAAGCTTGGAATGGTTCGACATGCCGCCATGATCTCCGCTCTCATATCAATCTGGCTGTGGGCCGAGAAAACAAAAAAAGACAACGACTCCTAAACAAAGGATTATCAGGACACCAGGGCAAGCCGCTTGCAGGTAGATCTGACGCATCCTGTTTTTGACGCTGCCTCGGAACCGGGGCCCCACAACTGCCGCCACCCTTTTCGGCCATAGCGAGGCTCTTCAGTTTCGCGATGGTCTTCAACTCCATGCCGGCAGTGACCGACAGTGACAGGCTGGAGATTTGATGTGTCCTGACCTTAGAAGGCTCCTAATTACCGAGGTCCCCCCCAGCTAGGTGCCAGCTTTTACCGTTTTCTTTTTTGGGAGAGGGTTTCCCTACCAAATTCACTACGGAAAAAAGGGTACCCTTATTCTAACCTCTCTACTGGAGGACCTAGTTACACAGAGTCTGCCTTTCATCGCGTGCCCCTTATGTTCTGTTTGTGAATCATCACAGTTTTCCCAGAGGTACAGGTCAGTTTCCAAATAGGCAGGGTGGTTCGTCTCTTTTTTTTCTCCTTGAAACAACCGCAAAAGGGTATTGTCAAGACAAAGAGGCACGCATAGGCGCCCCTCCCTGTGAAACGGAACATCGAGCGGGCTTTGGCCCGGGCGGTGGCTTGCGACATGAGCTCCTGGGCCTCTTGCCATTTCAGGGCCTAGCCTTTCCTGGCATTAAGGCTTCTCAGCCGGTTGGAA